TGCAATTTAATGATGTGTGAATGTATCCAGAATCAATAAAGCTAAATATATATATATATATATATATATCAGTACTACATGGTCGTTTAAAATATATTTATATCACACTTTGGCATCCTAGTGTACATATTTGTTCTTCTTTGTTTTTGTATAATCATATCAAGACCGATTTTCTGAAGATTGTTGACTCTATGAAATTAAGAAATACTTTGGCTAATCTCTGATTATCATCTCACAATTTATTTATAGAAATAGGTAGACATAATAATATTAATATAAGTGACCGAACATGTTTTATTTACAACAATAATTACATCGGAGATGAATATCACTTTGCAATGATTTCCTCAGTATGATTATCTTAGGACACAGTATATATCCAACTATTTTGCAAGAAACCCAGCATATTTAATTGTTTAGAAAGGAAGTAAGTGTTAAAATAGCTATATATTGTTATAAAGCATTTATATTAAGATCAGATTCATTGAAAGCCGGTAATATATAAGACCTTTCTTTTTGTACTGTTTAAAGTTATATAATGATTGTATATATTACTTGTGTTGTATTACAGTCTCACTAATTTATTGATATGCATTACTATTTTTTTCATATTCATGCATGTATACATACATGTATATTGTTGTATATGAAAATCTGCTGTATATGCTTAATCAACAATAACATATGTGTTTTATTATATTCTATATAAATCATGATGATTAATATATGAAATATATGAACTTATTTATTCTATGTGATTACTCTGCCAAAACAAAAGAGGCAGTCCAGGAAGAGTAGTTTACCTTGTTTCATCTAAATGATTTGATACAGCAATAAAGTAAGAAATATAAGAGATGTGGATCTGAACTACATTGTTAAATACTCTATTAATCACGACGTATAGTGCTACAGCTTGCAATGATAATAATATTTTCAAACATGTTCTAAAAGTATGATAAATTCACATATTATATCTACTTAATGGTACATTATGCCTCAGACATCCGTATTTTGTTCTATTCTTTAGAAATGTCAAACATGTGCTTAGTAATATTTGAATAATAGATTAAGAGCATGTTATATGTTTTACAACTGAAAATAGTAGGTAGTGCTGAACATGCAGTTATGTGTCGTAAAGGTAGCAAAATGCAAAAAAGTAGTATTTTGACTTCCATACAAAATACTAATTCACTATAATTATACTTATTGCCAACAGAACTAAAGATGCAAATAATAGTTCGTGTATATAGCAAATGAATATGTTTTTGGAAACCTTAGCAAGATACAAAACATAAACGTTTTTGAGAAATAAAAATGAAAGCATTTCTGAGGCAGAATGGGACTTTAAGCTTGATATATATTTTCTTAAAGGTCTTGTTATTCTACTGATAAATGGGTAAATCTTATTTACATCTGACATTTCAAAGTACACAACAAACATCATTTTGGCAAGACTTGAGTGTCCTGATATTTCCATTATGTTTGCATTGTCACTTATGACCACATTGTAAATTGCTATGAAGGACATCCCTTTCCAAATATAAAATGTATTAATAAAGTCACAATATTTAAAAAAAAAATACTACACATTTACTTAAACCAGATAAATTTTACCGTTAAACCTCAAGAATTTGCCCGGACTTGAACCCTTTACTAGTATCTTTCTGTTAAACATTGCTCTAATATTGGCGAATTCTCATAAATTACTACAATTACTTTTCGTTCATTACTAAAATGAAGACAGAGTACGTGTGAAATGTATCTCACATGTTAAAACATGTATGAAATATGAAGATAATGATTGTGCTGACGAGAGAAACACCTGTTTACAGTTATATTATAAATCTGAAAGAGTAAAAATCTCTCAGGTGAAAATAAAAAGCAAAGCAAAAAGCAAAAGTTCTGTATTTCATGATTCCATGGAAAAGAGAATTTGTTACAAAATGTGCGCGTTTTCAAATCAATTGTTTTCGGAAAACAAAACAAACACCGGGAAACTTTTGGAGGTTTACTAAAATTGTTTACATATAAATATAGTCGGTCACTTTACGTGTCAAATGAAGTTAACATACAGAAATTCGAAATATTAAAGTAATTGAAATAAAACAAAAAGAAAAGATGAAAGAAAACCACTATAAAATACAGGGAAAATGAAGTTATCTGATCTAATAGATTTTAGGATTTTTTTTAGATTTAAAGCATCATAATCAATTATTAATTTAAGATATGGTTAAATTATTTGTTATCTTTGATAATTACAACATCAACGGATCAATTGTTTTTTTCAGATCTAGGTGCAACATGCTCCTGATTGTTTGATGCCCTGTCCATTGTCTGTTTTAAACAACGATTAATTTATAACACAACACAGTAATGCTTACATACTACACATTGTAATATTGCAGCCCAATAGAATACCTGTGGTTCATGAGAAGAATCCGTGAAATGATTACCACCGGAGGGTAAATTAGTAAATACCATTTTAAAGTAGTTGCACCTAGATATGAAGAATCCTTTTAGAAATAACATACCATTATGTCTATGATGTATAATGAATTTCATGTCGACAATGATGCGAGCAACATTTCCTTCCTTTGCTTCTTTAGTCATTGTTTAATATACATTTGTTTAGCGAAAGTATTATAAGTAAAATGCATTTGTCTACTTACATATGTAATGTTATTTGTGGCTATGTTTTTATTTTCCAAATATTTGGACAGGGAAAGATCGGTAAGCGACGGTGACTTGTAATTAGATTTCCGCCTTTTCTGCAATAAAAGCATATTAAATTTTATATCCATTTAACGTCTTTATAACAGCATTTTTGTGTATGTTTTTCTGAGTCACGACTCGTGCATTACAATTAATTCAAACCAGTCCGAATGAAGGTGAAGTAATAAGCTAATAACAGTAGTTTATATTAAATATCAATTACATTGCAATAAAGGAAAATAAACGAAATAGAAATCATCATATGTTATACATATTAACTGTGGAATTGCAAACGTTTTGCGAACGTATCGAATAATTTGAGTTAAATAAAATTTGTTTCACTTTCACATTAAAATACATAGTAAGATACTGACGTCAATCATTTCTAGCTTTGATAAGAATCAAGCAGTTTCTTATTTTTCTTCAGATTGATCTGTTTCATTCATCGAGGCATGAATTTAAGGATTTGTCAAAAAATAAAACAAACAAAATACTATAACGTCAAATTAAAGTTCTGTAAAACTTTGTTTTAAGGCATTGATTTATTGTATTACAAGCAAGTTTCCGCCTGTGCTTCTTAAGCTATGATAATAATAGTGAAAAATGTTCTAATTAAGCGAAAACAATACGATAATCGGATAAAATTAGGACGAGAAGATAATAGTTTAAAGATAGGGTTGCTGCATATTACATGACTTAATTCTCTATAATAATACACTTCATGATATTCATTTCATTTTTTCTGCTTATTAGAAAATAAGGTGGGTACAATTACAGTATTAGATGACACATACAATTAAAAGAGACAAGGTGTAATTAAAACGGAGACTGCATCATCTTTGTACACGTGCCAACTGTTTTTGCACCGTACAAAATAATACATGCATTGTTAAACATATAACTGGCTCTTTGCCAGGTGGCACTTCTTCTCAATGTACTCGCGTTGTCTTTCACTGTTATACTGAAATCAGGTTATCTATTCTTATTTACACTGAGGTTGGCGAATAAACCTTTCCCAATAATAAAAGAATGAAACTCTTAACATAAAAAATCTAGATATAATTTTCCTGTAATATATATGTAAAGAAGAAAGTAACAATTAAGAATAAATCAAGTATTAATAGAATATTTCATACAAGACATCGTAAAGGCACCTACTAACTAATACTTAAACACAACTATATTATTGGCCTAATATGTTATCTATGTTTTTTTTAATCTGTCTAAAATAAATATTCTAACATATACCGAAATTTATTTTTGCTTTGGCTCAGAAATGCAATAACGTGTTTACTCATTTTGTTATTTATTTTTGTAGTAAGTGATTTTAGAATATCATCATCAATATGTAAGATTTCAAAGAAGCACAATTTTCATCCATACCGTATGTTTGTATGTTTTCACCGCCTACAAATATAAAAAAGAAGAAGGAGAAAAAATGAATTAATTAAGAATGAAAGATAAACAGCTTCTAGATTTACAGAGAAACAAATGTTCACAAAACAATATGTGCCTGTATTTACTTCAAATTAAAACACCTACTAATAAATCTCTCCTGTCAGGTAGGCGTATAGCCGTAAATCAAAGTCTCAAGTGAGGCGAGATATTTTGAATTACTTTGTGGCAAAATCATATGAAATAAACAATATTATGCACGATGTTATAGTACATTTTAAACGTTTTATATATTTAACGTTGATACTGTATTTACATCTTTATTGATAAAGTGATATATCACGTAAACTGCTTTACATGTGTTACCTTTCATTTTATAATGAAAAGATCAATGCAGAATATCAACACGTACATTACCTTACTTTGTTCAGTGTAATTTTAAAAATTGACTAAATGAATAAGTAAATGACTACATTAATTACCGAATTATGTTATCAACTTTTATTCTCTATCAATTGAAATGCAAAAATAAGTCCTTAGATTAGAAATAATTAAAAGAAAATGTCTATATAGAAAATGATTTATGTGAGGAACATGGAAAGCAAGCTTTCCAGTTTGACTTATATTTCTTTTGTATATTAATTTTATCTTTCGTATATAGTGTCATATATATTTTCTTCACGTATGTATAGTTACTTGTTATATAAATTTCGCTCTATAATTCCATAGCATCACATAAGAATCATGTTATACCTGATTTATAACTGTAGATTACCTGGTGGCCTTGTATTTTGTACAGAATATTACAGGATAAGTCTGGTCTGGCAGAAACGTATATAAAGATGTTTATCTTAATAATAATATTCAATAGTTTATAGGAGGATACACACATGATTTTCCCTGATAACCGCGCAGTTATATTAATCTGACCGAATGTTTAGGCGGAAACTAATCCTTGCATAAATATTTATATATCACAACCAGCCAGGTATTTTGTAATTGAAAAAAAAATACTGCGGCCGTTTATAATATTCGGTATAGCTTTACAAATGACTGATTGCGAATAACGAATGCTTCTGGCTAAATTAAGTAGCTGTTTTGAACTTGAAGTTGATGATGCATAAAGAGCGAATGTTATGAGTGGGATACAATTGATAAAACAGTTAAGTGAACTATCTTTTTATGATGCTATAAAGGTGCAAGTATTTATTTGTAACAAATGATACATGTGGGCTGCATCTGGCAGAGGTTATCAAGGTAAAAGCAAAGTATTCGGCAGAACAGAGGAATAAGTAATACCGTGTTGGTTTAGAGGAGTACGTATTAAAAGTGATTTTATAGCCTAGGTACTTAGCTGTTTTTGTGATTATACACACACTACAGACAGAGTGTTGCCTGTGTAGTGATACAATTGTTTCACGATTGAAGAGGGAATAAGTCGTGTAAAGATATTTCCGAGGAATAATATTGTCCAAATTAACAGTTACTGAATTTAAAAAGGAAGTGACAAAAAGTGAATAGTACGATATCTGAAAAAAGAAAACAGGATAAGCTAATATCTTATAAACAATGGAGGATGATATTCCATATCTTACGGAGGGCTATCTCGGAGAGCAGGCCAAATTCGCACAGTACGGACTTACAACGGTATCGCACCATGAGCCAGTCATCAGACTTGACACAAATAAGGTTGACATTGTAATAGGATACAGCGAGAAGACGAGGTTCACTACAAAGTTTAAACGAATGGACCCAATCCAAGAAATGAATAATTGCGTTTTTATGCAAAATCTAGGAGATTCTATGCATTATAGTATCGCTGTTTCTCAACCAGGGTTTTATAAATTCGAAATATACGCTTTACCAGGCAGCCAAGCAGGTCCCCATTTCATCAACGTATTCAATTACCTGATTCACGTCAAGTTCGTCGATGCTTATGTAGAGCCGTTCCCAAAACAGTATCCCCTATGGAAACAGGAGGGATGTTTTGTATTTGAACCGATGATGATCCAGAAAGGGTGCAACTATGGCGTTAAGTTCCGCTATCACATCCCTAAGGCTGTTGATGTACAGATAAAGGCCGGCGACGACTGGCATAAACTTGAGAAAGTTGAAGCCGATACATATGAAGGATATATTGACTTCAGCAAGGTAAACCTACCACCGGGTTCAAAGGTCAAGTTAAATGTGAAATTTGGAAGAAATAACAAGTATGACATTTTACTAGAATACACAATCTAAACTTCTTCACCGAGTGTTTATGTTTAAAAGCTGCTTCAGTTTGTTTATTTCATTAGCATCCAGGAAAATGTGGACATATGCCAATAAGAGATAATGAGGTTTCTCAGCAAGTGAGCATCACCAGCAGTTTGTAGATTCCGTACAACAGATAATAATTATCTGCTAATGAATATATCTGTTGTTGTTGTCGTTGTTGTTGAAAGAGTAAGAGAGAAAGGTCTGGATATAATATACACTCTTGTGAAATGACTCGGAACATTTTTTTCGTGTTTGCTATACAGTGTATTAAATTCTGTATTTTAAGGGTATCTTTAAAATTGAAAATATTCTATATTTTTTATTTTGTTATTGTGAGTTTGTAAGAAAATCACTCGAAATATGTGCCATATCGTATATCTTTATATAACAAGTGAGATAGAATTATCTGATCTGAATATATAATTATTTTTGAAACAGTGCGCTATATTACATATATACAATGCTACAAATCATTGCGTTCCTGAGTATTGTAATAATCCAATCTAATGTAACGATATTATGATTTTTATACCTGTTAAGAAGAAGGATATTGATTCTTCTCGTGTAAAACTACATTAATACGATATCACTTCGCATGTTTACGCTAAAACATTAATTTTGCAGTTTTACTATTCTTGTGTTATTTTAACTATGCTATTTATTAATATGGAAAATATTTGTTTTATTTACATTTTTACAAAAACATGTATAATTCTTTTTCTATGAAGTATTCACATTTTAAAGATTTTTTATATGTTAAGTCGTATCTTAAATTCGGATACTAATCATTTTGTATTATATTGAGCATAGTAATAACGATTATATGTAATTGTTTCAATTGATACTGTATATTACGTTCTTATGTTTCGGCACTGCTTATATTTGTTTTTAATAAACACAATTGAAATACTCTTGGAAAGTTACGGTGTTGTTACATCAATTTGCCAAAATTCTCTTTCTTCATTTGTTAATTATGCTCTACAAGAGCACTCGAAACCATGGTCCATTTTAAACGTCCTGAATAAAATGAAGCAATTTACTGTCTGTACCACGTAAAGATTATAACTGTTCAAGTTTAGTTATGATTATATTTTAGTCAAATACAAGTATATCATGTACAATACAAGTCATATAATGACCTTTAGTCAAGATAGTGCAGAACATTCTTCCGGGCGAGGCTGTTAACATGCATCTTATGAACTTTATTTTAGACATTGTCCTTAGAAAGAGAAAGTTATTATCCAGTATCATAATGTTTTAGACGTTCATTATGTCCCTTACATTCACTCAGTATTCTGCTGCATATAAATAATATGTATATATTATTTAAGAATGGGCGGTTATGTTACAGTCCTCTCTTATCGGTATCATCTGTTTCAGCGACTACTGTTTCTTTTATCATAATTCGAAAGCCTATCATATCAGATGGAATATTTATTTCAAGACATTTACCATTCCTTACCGCCTCCTGGTATCAAACAAACCAGGCATTGTTTGGAATCTGGAGGCGGAAAGATAAAATTTAACTAGCTTATAATTTAAAGACAAAATGAACTACTTGCAGAATTGAAATAAATATATTTATGATGGATCTAATCTGATGATAGCGTCATGCAATGTATAAAAAGGCACTAAAAGAAAGAAACTGAATATTTTATATCAATAAAAACACCTCGAAAATGTACAAGATGCACAATCTCTATTTTGATTTTAATGCAATCATGTTTGCTCACTTGTCACATGTGTTTTCATAGCGCTTTGGTATAGAGTCGCGAAAGTCTGATCAAAAACTTATTGCATATAAATGGAAAGATTATGAAATAAATCATAAGCAAGATGACTATTTTGAAACTATATCCAGTGTAATTATTTCAATTATAAGCTTTAGAGATATTTAAATGCTTTGGGATAAAGCTTTTGATTAACAGAAAAAAATTCATGTTATGCAAATTCATTAATTCGTACGCATTGTTAAAACTATCTTGTAGTGATACAAAATGGAATGAAAAGGCATTCCTAAAGAACATCCAAAACGGTAAAACGGTAAAATTGAAAATGAGACTGATCCGGTTTGATTGGGCCTGTTCATGGACTGTTCTGAAAGTGCAAGCTACCGTCCACGCCCCCTACACCGGCTTGAATTAATATGAAATTGCAGAATTTTGAATATAGAAACATTCGTAGATGTCTTTATTGAAAACTGGTATTCACTTCACGTTTGTAAAAAGAAGACAAAATATATATAAAAAAGACTCAAAAACCAATCAGTATTTAAGTATATGTTAGAAACAGCTTATTTGTCACGTCACGATTTCGATTTCTTCCCTATCTACAAGAGTAACATGCTCCTTCAACATTTTTATTTTGCGTGTTGGACGAACTGAAAAATATAGTTTCTTTTCACTGCCTGGTTACGGTCCATTTACCGTATCAAAGAGAATTGCTTCCTTTCACATCAAAATAAGTTTATTGCGTACAATTTTCGATTTGTGTTACACACCGATCAAAGAATTTTGAGCTTATTTTCTTTTTTCATGAATACTTTACATTAAAGATATCATGATCAGAGGGATTATATAAGTTAAAGGCTACCTTAGTAGTAAAAGCACTACTGAGAAGTTAAAATATGCAAAAGGTGCACTAATTCTGACTCCTGATATGTTCCTAGATGGCAAAAAATGTACAAACAAAATGATTCGTCTCCGGACTGTAAAATTATAATAATTGTTATATTTACCAAAAAAAAGAGAAATATGTATCATAAACACATGATTATGTATGAAAATTGACACGCTATTAATGTCAATGTTAAAAAATACTTTTAAAAATCAAACCAGGTAAGCACTGAATTTTAACATTTTGACAAAATGTTACCGCTCAATGTGAATAAAAATCTCATGGGTCTAGTTTTAAAGTATTGCACAACAGTATATGTAAAACTTACCGGCATAAAACTTGCTTTACTAGCCCTAGTGATTAGGTTTAAGCCATTCATTTTCAAATTGAAAGTTGTAAGGTTCGAATCATCTTGAAACATTATTTCTTATATTTTCCTTTATTATATTTTGCAAAACTTTTCAACTATGTTTTGTGCATGCAAATCACTCATTATAAGACTGAACATGTTGAAATGTATAAAAAAGTATATATTTATCCTATATATCTACCAATGGTATGCAATTAAAAGATAAGACGTCAGGAATTAAACACATAAGTTACATAAATCTAAAGGGGAAAAGTTATGCAAAGATAAGAACTTGCAACTACATTCCTATTGTTCTTACCACTTGTTTATCGGACCGTTATTATAGATTAAATATCTAGAGCTATATAGCGTTCATTCATACTTAATTGCGGAAACTAATTGAATAATTTCATAAAACTCCATTGAAGGCTCGATTCATTACTTATTCTACTTCTTGTACAACTTTGGACCTTTCAATATTATTGACGTCCTGTCTGACTGAAGCATGTTACAAACTAATGTCATAAATTAAATCTACATGCATATGAAAACTATGAAAACATATGATATTGAATTATCTATTATGACACAACTTTATTGAAACATACTGCCTGCTTGCTTGCTCAGTTAAATCCTTTTTACAACTGGTCGTTGCACTATCCTCTTTTGATGACATCTGACGGGTACATTGGATGGGCAGATTTGAAGAGTATATGATACGCAGTCCTTTAAACCATCACGACATATTTGTCGTAGTTTTTGTCTTCTTTTATGTTCGTCAGGCTCCTTGTTCGTGGTGTTATTGCCACTCTGACTCCACAAAAGGCATTTGGTACATTTGCTATGGTCATAAGGTTTACTTTTATATGTATTTATTGTTAAATGTTGTTCTTTTAAAGAGGAACTGTAAGAATTTCGCTTTACGGCGGATCATTTTATCTACGCTGACTTATCCTAAAGGAACATATTCATGATATTGGGGCTTTCGGTTTAAATTCCATGGTTGTGATTTTTGCTAATACCCTAGTCGATCCCCTTAGCATTTTGTGTATACCTTGTTAATTGTTTATATTTTGGGACATCACTGTGTCCACAGGTCTCGTTTTTCATCAACAGTAAGTATTTCGTTTCCATCTTTATTTCCAATTTTTGACACTCACTTTCATTGCCCCTACAACCTTATCACTGTAATTTAATTTCTAGTCTTTACTACTAACCTCAATTGTTATTATTTGCTAATATATAGAAAATATAATCTAAACCTTGGCATGCATTTTATAAATTTATCTAAATCAACGCATTTTAAAAGCATTTAAGAACCAAATAAACACGATGTAAAATAAAGTGTATGTAATTGCCTATTATTTGAAGAGACAATTTAAAGGAGGACAGACTTATTGCTCAATGTTGCAGCTGTTTTTCATCATGCTTTATTTCTTACCACAATCTCTGCAACGGTGTTTCTTTTTGTGCATTTTGTTTGGCCATTTATTTACGTAGGTTTTATAATGCTGTATTGATCATTTTTCTTGAGCATTACAATAGAAATAAATATTTTAAAAAATGGAATAAAGGGTAAGAAATTACACAGCTTAAGAGCATACCCGAATCAAAGGGCTGCAAGCTCTGTGGTATTTTCTGATCTTTGCAATGTAAATCGTACTGTATATCTGTATGTATTTTCCTGTATAAGTTTATTTTTATGTACTATAATTCATCTTGCAAGGCACCAGAGTTTGATACATACGGAATTTTGCATAACTAGAGTTGGATCAAAAAAATCATTAATGTTCATTTTTATTGACAGCCACACTTTATCCTTGCATATCATGGCTACTTCCTTAACAAAGACACTTAAAAAAGAATTTAAAAAAAGTTGCTTCGACTGGGATATGAACTCCAGACCTCTCACACACTAAACGAGCGCGTTACCCCTGCACCACGGAGAGGTTAAACAATGTCTGAATAAAATGTATATTTATCAGTGTAAAATGCTTGATCTTTCTTTATCAATGATTGCAGCCAAAAACTTTATAACACAAAAGCTGAAGACTGATAAAGAGGTAGCAATCATAAATAATAGATTACCGAAGTTTGAAAATGTTTGGAGTCTTTTTAGAAAATTTACTTTTTTATTTTAAAAAAGAAAAATGTCAGCTGAGAAAATATTATTACTACACTGAAAAGTACTGTTTTTGAGTTTAAGAAATAATTCAAGCCAAAATAGCATGCTTTAGATTTTATATAATGTTAATGCTTTTGAAACTATTTCTTAAAAAAATACGGTTATGAGTGTGAGTATGAATGCATGTGTCGTCCTTGTCTCTTTGTGTTTTTTTTGTTGTTGTTGTTATTGTGTGTGTGTGTGTGTGTGTGTGTGCGTGTGCGTGTGCGTGCGCGTGCGCGTGCGCGTGTGCGTGTGCGTGTGTGTGTGCGTGTTAGTGTGTTTTTCTTTTTCTTTTTGATTTTTTTTGTAATTGTTGTTTTTTTTCTTTCATTACATTGGCTCCACATCTGGTATAACCGTTCATATGCATGAAAACAAATAATTGTAAAACCACTGTGGGATGTGCTTCGACCCACAAATGGTTATGTGACGAAGCGAATAAATGGGGTTACCCCATATGGGGCCTGAAAAAAAAAAAAAAAAAAAGTTATTATATTCTAAATTTAGAACTTTCATTGCATTTCGGGTTTTTAATCCTTATTAATTTCGAGGTATTTTGTTTAGGATAAACCTGTTGTTTAAAATTGAAGTAAATAATTTAGCGAAAATCTTCTCGCCCAAACAGTCCGACATGTAGAATCTATATATTCCATTACTCGGTTTGTGTAGTATTCGGTAATCGACATCGCTAAAAATAGCATTTTCATTGATTAAAATCATATTCATCAGCGTTATTTGTGATTGTGCATTTATTGACAATTCTATAAGTCAACGCTCCTTTTAAACT